AGTCATCACCTTCAAAATTCTTTTGTGTTTAATTTACAAGCTTGTCTTTGGAATTGTAAACTTTGGTTATGATGTAATTAAATTTTAAATGTATGATTGTGTTATTTATACTCTATTGCTATGAGACTCTACCTRCCATACCTCGCGTTTCCGCTTTATCGGGGTGTGATAGATTTGGTATCAGACCAAAGGGCATAACTATCCCGGGGCGGCGCCTGTTGCTAAAGCTCCATATCGCTTAGCACCGGCCGAGATGCAAGAGCTATCGGGGCAACTTCAGGAACTTTTGGACAAAGGATTCATCCGGCCAAGCTCTTCACCTTGGGAAGCTCCGGTCCTGTTCGTTAAGAAGAAAGATGGGTCGTTTCGAATGTGCATAGATTATAAGGAGTTAAACAAGTTGACGATCAAGAACCGATATCCTCTCCCTCGAATTGATGATCTGTTCGATCAGTTGCAAGGCGCATGTTATTTCTCTAAGATTGATCTTCGGTCAGGGTATCATCAGTTAAGAGTTCATGAGGAGGACGTCCCTAAGACGGCCTTTAAAACTCGATATGGGCATTACGAGTTTCTAGTTATGCCCTTTGGTCTGACCAACGCACCAGCAGTATTTATGGATTTAATGAATAGGATCTGTAGACCGTACCTAGACAAGTTTGTGATCGTATGCATTGATGATATCCTGATTTATTCACGGAGTAGGGTAGATCACGAGCAGCATCTGAAAATGATGCTAGAATTGCTCAAGGAGCAAGAATTGTATGCTACATTTTCAAAATGTGAATTCTGGATTCGGGAGGTACAATTTCTCGGTCATCTGATTAGCGAAAAAGGAATTCATGTGGATCCGGCTAAGGTTGTGGCCATAAAGAAGTGGGAAGCACCAAAGACCCTGACAGAAATTCGTTAATTTCTGGGTTTGGCGGGTTATTATCGACGATTTATATAGAGCTTCTCAAAGATTGCCTAGCCATTAACAGCATTGATCCATAAAGGTAAGAAATTTGTTTGGGGAAAACCCCAAGAGGACGCATTCCAACTGCTAAAGCATAAGCTATGCAACGCGCCAATCCTGGCCTTGCCAGAAGGAACCGAGAACTTCGTAGTATATTGTGACGCATCCCACCAAGGTTTGGGTTGCGTATTGATGCAAAAGGACAAGATTATAGCATACGCTTCGAGGCAACTCAAAGCCCATGAGAAGAACTATACCACTTATGACCTGGAGCTAGGAGCTGTGGTTTTCGCTCTCAAAATATGGAGGCATTATTTGTACGACACTAAGTGTATTGTTTTGCCCGATCACAAAAGTCTCCAGCATATCCTTGATCAGAAGATGCTCAATATGAGACAGAGAAGATGGGTGGAGTTGCTCAGTGATTATGATTGTGAAATCCGATACCACGCAGGTAAGGCCAACGTAGTGGCAGATGCTCTAAGCCGGAAGGAAAAGATAAAACCCTCTCGAGTACGAGCTTTGGGAACGCTTGTCCAGATGAGTTTGAAGACTCAAATTCTTGAAGCTCAAAATGAAGCGCTTAAGGCAGAAAATTTGAAGAGCGAGACCCTGCATAATCTAGAGCATAAATTTAGGATTAAGTCAGATGGAGTGCGTTACTTCAAGGGCAAAGTTTGGATTCCAAAGATTAAAAACCTACGAGAGTTAGTTTTGAAAGAAGCCCATAGATCTAGGTATTCGATTCACCCAGGGGCGGATAAGATGTATAAGGATCTGAGAGAGTACTATTGGTGGCCAGGAATCAAAAAGGATATAGCTTTGTACGTTGGGAAATGTTTGACTTGCTCAAGGGTCAAGGCAGAATATCAGAAGCCATCCGGATTGTTACAACAACCCGAGATCCCACAATGGAAATGGGAACAAATCTCCATGGACTTTATCACCAAACTGCCTAGAACTGCTAAAGGTCATGACACGATTTGGGTAATAGTGGATCAACTGACAAAATCCGCACATTTCCTTCCGATTCGTGAAGATTTTAAACTGGTGAAGCTTGCCCAAATCTACGTTAAMGAAATTGTTGCAAAACATGGAGTACCTATTTCCATTATCTCGGATAGAGATAGCCGCTTTACATCGCGGTTTTGGCAATCACTTCAGAAAGCTCTGGGTACACAGCTAAAATTGAGCACCGCCTATCATCCCTAAACGGACGGGCAGAGTGAACGCACAATTCAGACTTTAGAAGATATGCTTCGAGCATGCGTAATCGAGTTTGGAGGAAGTTGGGATATTCATTTACCATTGGCAGAGTTCTCTTACAATAACAACTATCACACTAGTATTCAATGCGCGCCATATGAAGCCTTATACGGGCGCAAGTGTCGATCACCACTTAGTTGGCTAGAGATTGGGGATAGTAAGCTCACGGGACCAGACATTGTGCAGGAAACTACTGATAACATATCAATAATCAAAGAAAGACTTAAAGTTGCCAGGGATCGTCAAAAAAGTTATGCAGACAACTAGAGGAAGCCTCTTAAGTTTCAGATGGGGGATAAAGTGTTTTTGAAAGTATCACCGTGGAAAGGGTTAGTGCGGTTTGGAAATAATGGGAAGTTAAGCCCTAGGTATATTGGACCATTCGAGATCACCGAAACAATTGGTCCAGTAGCGTACAAACTAAAGCTACCCCAGGAATTAAATGCCATTCATAATACGTTCCATGCGTCCAATCTTAAGAAATGCTTGGCCGACGACTCATTGATCATGCCCCTGGAAGATGTTCAGGTTGATGATCAATTGCACTTAATAGAAGAACCCATTGAGATCCTCGACAGAGAAGTTAAGCAGTTAAAGCGAAGCAAAATTCTGATTCTGAAGGTTCGTTGGAAATCAAGGTGTTAGGACCTATAAATTTAGATTTTGTATTTGATCTCTTACTCTTGATGATCTTTAGGACGATTACAATGCAGCGGAAACAATAATAAGAACACAACAGAGTAATTAACCAAGAACACACAGATTTATATGAAGAAGATGAACATAATAGAATCGCTTCAAAGGTTTTTCAATTGATTGAAAATAAGACGATTACAATACGGAAGCACACTGAATTACAAAGGCCTAAGCTGCTATTTATACTAGTTCCTAACGACCTTTCAGACATGACCTAGACGTGTGAAATCATCCAAGCCGTCCAAATAAAGTCGATTAAAGACCTAGTCACATGAGAAGCACGTGCATCTAACAACCTTTGAAAAACAGCAGAACAGGATCTTCACAGAAGACGAATCCACAGACCCTCTACGAGCCAGCTCAGAGGCTCTGCTGTAGAAGACTTGTAGGTTCTTATTGCCAGAGGACCATATTCTAGAACCTCTGTGAGAGACAACAGAGGTTCTGTCATTCTTGACTTGCACGATCAAACAACTTCTGTTGATGGTCCTCTGTTGTCTTCTGTGGAAGATACCCTTCTGTCAACACTTGCAGAATACTTTTTCATACTTTTACATTAAGTAAATATTGGAGCTAACAATCTCCCCCTAAGTATGAAAAAGTAAAAGTGGACAAATGAATGCAAGAAATGACTAATTGAAAGAATTACAAGAGGAGATAAAACTCATCCTCTGAAAAGAATTACATAAAATTGAAAGAATTATAAAATTGTTGCTTAGGCCTATCTATTATAGAAGATTAGTCCACAGCAGAGTCTGGATAGTCGTCTACGGCAAACTGCAGATATGTTTTGATGGTTCTGTAGACCTTGAATATCCATTCTCTGAAGGAGACTTGAACTTTAATCACTTCCAGAATACCAGACACTTCGTCCGCCCTTAGATGCCCTATGTGCACCTCTGCTGCCACTTGGTTGAACACCCACTCAAGAGTCTCTGTCGCATATTTGTTCGCCTCTGTGGGATCAAAGAACCTTAGAATGTCATCCTTGTCCAAGAATACAAACCCAAAGACGGGATTTTTGACAATAGTGTTGGGATGACATCTAAGTAGCCAACTTAGCCTGTTCTTCGGAGGGGAAATCTTCAATTCTGTTTTGGCCAACCTCATTGCGATATCAAAGTCCTTCTGGCTGTTGTATTTCACTTGAGCGTGCATAACTTCGATCATCCTTCTGAGCGATATAGAATAGCTTGACCTCCTCTCCATGTATTTGTTAAGAATTTTGTGCAAGAAGATGAGGTCAAATACACAGAGGTTGTGGAGGTCAGCATATCTGAATCTGTATAGGTTGCTGTCATCCTCTTCACCACATATTGAGCATAGAGCACGGTCTTCTTCAACATCATCCTTGGAGAAATTATTTCAAGGGAAGTTATCACGTGCTTTGAGAAGACCTGCTCGTGTGGCCTTGTGAGCTTTGAGAAGTGAAACTTCACAAATGCAGAGGGTATACCTGTAAGCTCTAGGTCGTAAGGGGGCTTTGTGTCTACGGCAGAGTAGCGCCACCGCAGAATCTCCTCCATAGTGGTTACAGGCTCTGTGCGCACCTTCTACATAGGGATTTTGCTCACCGAATCAAAGATCTCATACACCCTTCCCACTGTGGCAGATTCTGGCACTCTGGTTTCTTCTTCTTCTAGAATCAGCCTCTGGGTAGACCCCTCTACTAGGATAGGTTTGACAGTTCCTAACAGAGCGTCAAACGTACCCGCGGACATTTCCTCCTTCGCCATTTTGGAGGATGAGCCTTCTCCAGCTCTGGGGATAGGGGCTCTACCCTTTCTTGCTTGAGCCTCTGCCAAAGATGTCTTTAATGCTTGAACGAGTTATGGGTCGTCGTACTCTTCTTCATTTATCTCTTGTGGCGTCTCAGAGCTTGACCCGTTCTGTGGCGACTCCTCTACAACTTTGCCCTTGCCTTTCCCCTTAGGCTCTGGTGCTTTGTCTTTTGAGAACAGGGCTGCTGTAGAGTCCACTATCTTTAGTGGTTTGGCAGAGGTCTGTTTCTTTGGGTCTTCAGCTTTCTTCTCCGTCTTCTTCTCCCCCTCATGACGATCATGGTCAACACCTCCTTGATCGTCATGGTTTTTCATGGCTTCTGCCATGCAAGAGATAAGGGGAGCCTTCTTCAATCGCTTTAAGATTCTGGTAGCCACCTTCTCCATTTTCTCGATCACCAGCTATGCGTGCACTGAAGCGTTGTTGATGTCGATCTCTGAGGCCCACTTCATTTTAGAGAGACTTCGATAGATTTCGCTTCTGAAGGAGTCACCCTCTTTGACGAGCTTTGAATTGCAGTCTCTAATTGATTGGTTGGAAGCTCGGGATTCTTTGAGAAGTTGATCTGTGTGTTTGCTCACGATATCTCCTAGGGCTTCAACCATTGCGTCTAGCTCTCTGCGAGTGGCTAGATGGTTGATGTTTGCCCTGGAAGATTTGGTGTCAATGTCGTAGGTGACCACAGAGGAGAACATGCTTTTGATCTCGTCTTTGAAGGTGGAGTAGTCTGTGTAGCCTGCAGAGATGAAATCAGCAGCAAACTGGGCGGCCACCTCTGATAACTCTGTCTTTAGCCTCTGGATTGAAGAGGGGTTGAGTGACAGAGCGTTGAAGGCTTCTGCGAGGTCGTCTTTATGAAGTACAGAGCTCTAAAAGGTTGAAAGTGTTGCCTTGAGTTCTGATGTTATAGATGTCAACTCCTTCAGAGCCTCTATTATTGGAGCAAGGGCCTCTGTCGATGATTGAGAGGTGAACAAGCTTTTCAACTCGTCTAACCTCTGGAATATCGTTGTGGCGAAGGTTTGTAACTCCCCCTTCGTTACATAGGTATCCTGGGAACCTAGATCACCAACACATGGTGACCTCGTAGCCTCAGAGTGAAAGGTGCCCTCAGCGACTGGTTTTTCAAAGTCAGCTCGGGGACTTCCACCGGATCCTCGGACTTCTCCAAGAGGAGAGCCTACCAGTGTTCTGTCGATATCGTGCCTTGTAGGTTCAGAGCCTAACACGGCAGACGGATCGAGTGTAGACTTTGGACGTTCTACACCCTCGGTCTCTGTGACTCTCACATATGCCTCTGAAGCATATTTTGGTTGGTCACTCAAGTGTGGAGAGGCAACGGATGCCTCTTTGGGTTGTGACGAGTCCTTGGGCGATTGGACTCTTATWTTAAAACCATCATCCTTTTGAGAGGATGTTGGAGTAAGTTGTGGTTCCCGGGTAGTGCATTCGACAGAGGACGGAAGAATGTCCTCTGCGAGGTTAGCTTGGGTTTGGCTCAGCATGTGCACGCCTTTTTCAATAGGGGATCCCTTTAGAACAGGGTCCCTAGAAACGTGGGTTGCACTGGGAGGGGGGCTAGGATATGTGCCTTGGGCATCTTTTTCTCCATCTCCTATCTCCACCTCTTCTTCTTCGTCGTCTAATACGACCTCTGTCTCCAAATCAGCTACTTCCCTAGGCGCTTTAAACTCCTGTTGAATTTGGAAGATAACATCTTGTATCTACTCTGTTGGGGACTCCTCGTGAACCACCTTGCGCAACCTTCTGCGTTTTGGAGTAGCCTCTACAGGGCTCTCTTGAATTGCAGCCTCTGTGACCCCAACCTCTGCGGGTTGGGCTTTCTTTGATTTCTTTTTCTTAGGCTTTTGCAGAGGACTACTTGGACCCTCTTCTTCTGYGGRTCTCTTCTTCCCTTCCTTTTTCACAGAAGAATCAACACCCTTCTGTGTCTTCTTTGGCTTCTTTGGTGGGGGACTTGCTACTCTAGGTCTTTCCTCACTCACCTGTCTAGCCTCTGCTGGCTCCTCCTGTCTTCCTTCAACCCTCATTTTTTCCAGTCGCTCTCCTAAGGGGATTCCTATGCGTGAAGGGGTTTCAGGGACCGGCTCTGGCGTCCTGTATCCACGTCTGTATGCTTTCCTATCTCCATGACTAAGGTATTTGAGCATGGCTTTAGATAGAGGTATGGGGCTTCTGTACCCTAGCTCATGCTCTGTCGGATGGAACTCTTTCAATGGATACAGTCTAGCGTTAGGCTCGGCAGAGGGCAGCTTCTCTGCAATCATTTCCCCAAAGACTAGGCCAAAGAACCTCTGTAGAATGAGATTTGGATGATTGAGATCCTCTTTGGACTTCTTTTGCGCCTTCACTTTTGACTTCTCTCCCCTCTGTGTAGTGCACTTCTTCTTGATCAAACCCACCATGTCTTCACAGATAAGCTGAGCGTAGTCGAGGGGCAGGTTGAAATAAATTCCATACACAATGGAGAGCATTGCGTGAGAGGTCTGGTCATGGCTGCCGACCTTCCCTGTTAGACAGCAGTTCACGATTGAGAATAGAGTATTCCAGATTGGGGGTAGACCTTTTCGTTTGGCGGCATAAGAATGAAATTCAAGAAATTGAATTAATTCATCGTCTGTTGGGGTTGGGGTGAAAGCATCCAAATTTAGAGATTCCAAGGTTGGTAGGCGAAGGGCTGTTCGAAGAGTATTCACGTTTAGTTCCATGGGTACAAGGGATTTGTTGATTGGGTGAGAAGCATAACCGACGATGCTTAGTCCAGTGTTGTCTAGGGTAGTTAAGTAAGAGCTTAACAGGAATTGGGTGATGTAAGATTCAGGTGTTGGTTTGGTGGCTGAAAGGGCATAATAAAGTGGGTGATTTCGAAGAATTTCAAGAAGGGGGAAGGTAAATTCAGGGAAACTTGTTGAAGATGGAACGAAGTAATAATTGTTTGGTTTCTTTACAAGAACGACTTTCTCGTATCTATTTTGAACAAATGATAGAGCGTGGGACGTTAATGCTTGGGCTTGGGTTACTTCGTTGTCGCTTGAGACGTTAGCAGATTGAGCGGAGGCTGAAGAAGAAGACATAGTTGCAGGTTTGTTTGAAAGCTCAAAGTATGCAGGTTCGCCTGAGAA